TATGAAAGGGTCTTAAGGCTAAATGTTGGATATATCTTATTGCAAAAAGCTTTATTTTTATTTAATTGAATCAATGCTTGCCACAACAATGTGGTCAAAACTATGTCCGATTGGAAGATACAGTATCCTACTGTGCCTCACCTCAAATTTCTGGAGCTTCCCCTGCGCGGGACTCTCTCTGAGAGGTTTGTCTTAATGAATCAGAAGTGCAGCTGAAACACAGACTTTGTTATTGCGAATACACCCACAGGAGACTATGTTGAAATGAAGACTTCAGTAGAAGATGCTTTTCACCACCTAACATCAGGACAAGAAAGCAGAGGTGCAGCAACCATGTGTTAACTCTGCCCACGAGAAGAAGGATAGGCTCGGTACCTTTGAGACAGACCCTGGTACCAGGAAAAAGAAATCCATTTATTCCATCATCTCTTTTGCAGGAAAAGCCATGAGAAGCACTACCAGGGCAGCTTAGCTTCAGAGATACTGTGAGGAACAAATAGTGGCTTATGAGCCTTATTCCCACCAACTATGATACAGCATTTTTCCAGTTTCACATGTATTTCTGTTTCCTGACTATCACAATGCTTGCCAGATCTTCTCAGTCACAATACTTGCCAGACTAACAGTATAAAGTTGAGGCCAACTAGAGAAACCAAAAGTCATGGCCTTAGAAGTTCAACAGTTAACAAACAAGATACTAACTAGGACATTCGGTGGATGTCTACTGGGAAGATTTAGGCTCCCTTCTTGAACTGGAATCATTAAATGAGGGATGTGCTTTTATGCAACAGAAACGCAATCCATAGACTTATCTATACAGAGATATTATATATATGTGTGTATGTACACGCATCTGCACAAGTGTAATCATACACATTGCTGTTTATATAGTAAAGACAAATTATGTATTCAATTCTTTCACAGACTGGTTAAGAGTGATTGAAAATATATCACCAGATATTCACAGTAAATATCTTGTTCGGTTCATTAAAGTGAAGTACTGTAGAAACAGAACATCACCTTCGAAGCTGTTAAACAGGGTGTTCGCTGGGATTCAGGGCAGCACTGTGAAAGAGATTTAAAACAAGAATGGTGTTTTTAAAAGTACACATGTAATACCAGGCAGAAGTAAATGTATCTGAACATGGTAGGGGTTAGGGTTGGGTTTTGCTTTTTTAATCCCGTGCTGCATATTGGTATTCTTTCTAACAGTTTAAGCATGAATTTTCAGAAGTTCCCATTTTACCAAATCATAACCCAGGCTCTTTCACTCAACTATCTTCTTTTGCCTGAAATCTAATTCCATCATATAGTAAAAATGCAACACACCATCTCTTTTAGATTAATGCGGTTATTTAGCAGGTTGTTAAATAGCAGAAGCACTATGCCAGAACACAGTTAAAACTGAGGCTTTTTGTTTTTTCTTTTTTTCTTATAGTATGTACAAGCATTTGCTTGTTAAAGGGCAGAGTCTCATGTTCAGAGAGCATTCATTTCTAAGCTGGAAAATGATTTAAGTGAAAAGGCTTAGCCGACATGTAGAGAGAAACAAAAGAAAACGGAAAAGCTGACAAATAAAATGAAAGAACAAGTAACAATTACACTGGGTATGCACACCATCCAGCTGTAGGCATCTAAGTGTAAGGCTCAATGGAGAAAGACAGATTTGTAACACTGATGCTTTCAACCGATCTCTAAAGCAGAAGTGCTGCATTGGCAGAGCATGGGCACCACAACACAGGTCCAAATTAGTCCGAGGTTCAAAGGAGTGACTAGTTCCATAGCAGGCAAGGTTTTGCTCATTTTAACCACTCGGTAGCCCAGGGAATCCAAAGACCAAAGTTCATTCTAGATGATAGTATATTTTTTTCAAATTCTCTTACAACATATACAGGTTACTGAGGGATGATGCAGTCTCCTAGAACTCGTTTTAGTGCCTCCCAGTTCATAAAATCATAATAAAATGGGTCTAATCTCAGTTACAGCTCTGCAAATCTGAATGACATTGACCGCTGTCAGTGCTGACCTGGAGCAGTCACCCTGAAGGTGTCATCGTAAGGAGTAGAGTTTCTCTGGAGTTTCATGACCATAACAAAATCAGATTTGGCCATAATTCATGAGTATATTACAATCTTTGAAGGCTATACAAATGGATTATAAATGGCTTTATAGGCCATTATAAGAGCCTCATAAAAGCCTTAAAAAAGGACTCCGTGCTGCACCCACCCATTGTCATACAGGGTGTGCAGGAGTACAGTATCGTACTGAACGTCAGGCTACGCAAGAAGTACCCCCAGCAAATGGGGACTTGTCTTCCTTTATTCACAGGTGTGGCTAATTATGGGGCTTCTAGCACTGACCCTGCCGAATAACCTTTAGCATATTCCTGAGGGCACATAAAAATAACACAGAGATACTTCAACTCCGTATCAGCAACGAAGGGCTGGGTAACCTGCAACTGCACATTTAATTCCACGTCTGCACTGCAGTTCTGGAGATACTAGGCACACACTTTGAAGGTTATAAGCAGTTCCTCCCTCACCCACCTTGCATAAGCTAATTTCCGTGTTTATCCAATTGCAGGTAAATGAGTGACACTTTCACAAAATGTTTCCTAAGTTCAGCAAGACTTTCAGCCTTTCAAAAATTTTACAAAGAAAACCTAGTATCAGGAACATAACACCGATGAGCAATTTGCCTGGATTAGGAAATTGGCTCCAAGCCAATCTCTAAAAACTTGCTGGAATTTTTGGGCATCAATTATAAATCCTTGTATATCAGTACACCTGTGTTCTACTTAGGCATAATTTCATTATCCAATGAATTTACTGACTGAGGAGACTAGAAAGAAAAAAATCATTCAACGGTTTCTAACTGAAAACATTGATGTATGGATTTCTTACGGCAATCATGCCATAGCTATTACAGGTAACTGTTGCCACTTATAGCAACTAAAGCACCAAACACACAGCGTGACTTTGGTCAAAGAGAGCCTTCTTCGGTACTGCATGTCTGCAGCGTGCAACTGTAAAAGACACCAGTTACCACTGGAAAAATCCTAAACATGGAACCATAAATAAATGGGACCTTGGTTTCAGAGCAAGTCACCTCCCTACTGCCTTTTCTTGTGGGATGGAAAAGGTAACCTAGAGATTTGATCCCAATAGGTGTTTCCTGGGAATATTTCAGTCCTTGGGTAAGAATTCACAATCTGTGGGCACTTCTATATCAAACCAAGACCCTTGAAAGCAAATCCCAAACCAGCTGCCTCTGGACCTGGAAATGGTGGTGCTGCGCTCAGAATAATCAGCATCTTTGAGAGCAAGGGCAGTTACTGCAGGAACAGATACAAACAAATATACCGACTTCAAAACCTGAGCTGGTAGCTTTGCACGGCATGGCCTCACCACTGTGCCGGTTCATCAGTGGACCTCACACTTCCCCAGGGATGTCTGACACAGTTCTGCATTGCACAGTGCAAGCATCAGGCCAGCAGAAATCCTTTCAAATGGGTCATTTTCCTTGCCTCTTCCTTACTTAACATGAACAAAAATCTTCCCCAAAAAATCATGTGGTTTTTTGTAAATGACTTAGTAGCATGGAAAAAGAATGAGACTTAACTACTGCCACACTGTGTTAAGACCTATTGCCATTAAAAATGAAAACCCAAAAAAGTATTGCACCATGCTTCTGAGCTCTAACCTACTGTTAAACAGTGAACATACCGGATCAGTGGAGAGACTGCACTGTGACTATATAACTATATGCCAAGGTGATAACCCAAGCCATGATAACCAGCTATGCTACCCTATCTAATGAATAATGAAGAGTAGTTTTGGTAAAGTGCTTCAATCTTCCTCCAAAAAAAGTTATGAAAATATAAGTTTTGGAAACATCTCCTTCTTTAAGAAGCAGATCTTTTTGTTTCCTTGCTACAATAGCACTTGTATACAGTAAGCACTGTATTTCTACCTCTACTATCCATTTGCTTACTAGGTAGATTAGATCAGGAACAATACATCTGGATGTAGAGGAAAATGCCACAATCTAAAATCTTTAAAAGTTCTGTGAAAGCCTTTGGCTACAATGAACGTTATCAAACCAGAAACTTCTGAATAATGATTTAACAAGAATTAAAAGAGCAGATTCATAGCAAAACCAGGACATAAATGCCACAGTATATTTTCATGGGGAGGCAAATCTGCATGACCCGTTATTGATGTTCACAATACGTTGTGCAGCAGGCTGTGCTCAGGTATGCTGCACACCCAACCCTCTGTCCTCCAGTGGCTGGAATTAAAAGCAAAGGTAACAAATATTCAAAGACATCTGAGACAGAGGTTAAGTTTTTGAAAATCAGTATCCTTGACTCAGTGAATGAGAATGTGGAAGATCCCATTTATTAACAGACCTGAAATACTGTGGCTATTGTTGAGGATGTTGCTAAATATAATTGCTTTAGCAATATATCAGTTTGTAATTAAAAAGTACAATTTTTTTCATCTTTTTAGCCCTTCCTTGACTACCCAAAAGTAACTTCAGTACCAAGCAGCACACAGTCTACTGAAATGAAATATGTCTCCTACTGCTCTGTGCATTATTTCAGATATATGAAAATATACTGTGACATTTAACATGCTGTACAGGTGACTGAGACAGTGACAGCAGCAGCAAACACCCCCCCCCCAAACGCTGAAAATGTAAGCACCCTGGCAAGTGCTTATTCATATATTCATATAGGCAAAACCCAAGCTAATGACATAAGGCATGCTCCAAAACCCTCAGAGGTCACCTGGGGCTCATGGGGACGGCTGCTGCTGTCAGGATTCTTATTCCAACATCCCGAGGGAGACAGGGGGAGCAGGGGGGAATGGGCACCAATGGAGAAAAGAAAAACTTTAGAAACTGTACCCTTGCTGTCAAAAAGGCTTCAGAGTCAGCTGCCATCTTGACATGAGGTTGCAATTCCTGTTACCGTACCTTTTTAGACACAGGGAACATGCTTAATGAACTGGTCCCTCACTCGTTTTCAAGAAAGATTAAATTTAAAATATTAGGGGGCTGTTGGTTGGTTGGTTGGTTGTTTTTTAAAAAGAAACACCTCAGCTAGCTCCAAACATGTCTTTTTCTGATTCTGGAGACTGGGGCCTTGATATTTCAAACAACTCCTGTGGCGACTGGGAGCTTCTTCTTGAGGTTAATATCCTAAGTATCTCAGCAAGCTGTTTTTCTATATTGGTCATTTTTGTGTTTAAAGCCTTGATGTCCTCTTTCAACTCGTGTTTCACTTCTAGCATGGTGGCCTGAAGAGTCTGTTCTGGGATGGGATAAAAAGAATGCTTGACCTCGGTGAGGACGGGGCTGCGGTCCTGCGGGCTTCTTGTCTCCCCAACGTTATCCAAGCGCAAGTCACTTTTCGTAATGCCACTATCACAAGAGTCTGTCTTCTTCAGGGTAGCTTCTCCTGAAGCTTTAGTTCTCTCTGGTAAAGTCTCCATGGACTCTGCTTTAGAGACCTTGTTCCAGTCTTCACCCTTCCCACAGGCGTCTCTGAATTTGGCCCAGCCTTTTCGTCGGGGGTAGTCCCCCGACGCTTTACATCCTGCGTAGTCCGATGTCGGGGCCTGCAGCTTTGCCTGGTCAGATGCCCCAGATGTTGAAGCGGACTGGTATGACACAGGGGTCGCCGGACTCTCCCGTACAGTCACAACGCTGGCTTTGACCACCGAGCGGGTGGAGGAGTGCTCCCCTAAAACGTTCCCCTTCTCCACGTCCAGGTCATCCGGATCTCTGCCCCTCTCTGCTGCGAGCCGCGCTTCCTTCTGCTGCCTGAACCTCTGGAACAGCCGGCGGACGGGGTGGTCCGGCGGTAAGATCAGAGGTGCTTCGTTCTTCCTCTTCATTCTCTCCTCTTCTTCACGTTTGACATCGCTGATTTTCCGGAACACGATCTACAAGGGGAAAGAGATTTCACTCTGTGATTAACTGCACATCCGTTAAGGGAGAAAAGTTATAGAGAAAGAATTATTTGAAAGAATTTATTTTAACTGACAAATGCACAACCTCTGCACATTTATAGCAACATTGTCAAGTGTCTTATCTTGTGTGGAACGTGGCTTATTTCATTATTTAAGAGCATACACCATCTGTCTTATAACACCAGAAAGGAAAAAAAAAAAAGAAGAAAAAGATTTCTCCAGTTACGAGAGGTCAGCAGGGCAGCGCCATTGTAAATATAATGATCCCAAGAAGTAACTTGTTATATTTTGTGTTAAAAGTGACTTCTTACATTTGTTTTCCTGACTCTATGGTTTAGCACCAGGTTTCTAATACTACAAAGAGCCATTCCCATGTCTTATATCAGTCTCATCCCAGAGCTTGCTCACTACGTGCCATGCGATTTATTATAACTATTTTAGTGCAGCTTGGCTGCTAACGGGGTCAGTACAGCAGAGACTACTCCGGACTCTCCAACAGCAGTTTGAAAAGTGCTTCATGCCCTCCCTCCCTTCCCATACCCTCTTCTGGAAGCAACTTGCAGTTTAGAGATGAGGCAAAGCTCAAGTCAGTCCCATAGTCAAGGGTACAAGGACAGTGGGGAATGGGCTCTGCAAGACATGGGGAAGCTGTTTGTGGCTTGATTACTACAGAAGCTTGAAGAGCTTCATGTCTTGATTTATTTCTTTATTTCTATGGAAAGGGGGACATTTTGGACACAGAAACATTAACTTTCCATCTACCCTTCTAATTATATCTTCCTGAGCCTGTAGGCTAAGTGATCTCTGTGGAGCAGCCCAAGGGTCTCAAGGTACTGATGAAAGCTTCACAGTGCTCCCACACAACCCCAAAGTGCAGCCAGGCAATGTTTCTTCCCTGGACTTGATGGCAACACATTCTCTTCAAAAACTCCATGTGTTTTACACTGGTATTGGTATTTTCCAAGCAAAAAACCTCCAGTGTGGTATTAAAGGAGAACGAATAAGTATTCTGGTTTGAAAATGGGAAGTCCCCTAAGCTGAAGTTTTCAATATGGAGTATAAAAGATGTAGCCCCCAGCTTCTACTGAATGCTGAGACCTGATCTCTTTAGCTGCTTTGGGGAAAATCCACTCAAAGTCCTTACATTCCAATGCAGAAATAACTTTCAGATTCAAATCATTATTAGGAAATGTGTAAATAAACCCATCCCTCTGTTGCAGACAGATTTAAATTAAACTAAACATAATAAGCACTGCTTCACTGGCACACACAAAATGCATGTTTCTCCTGACTCCAATGCTTCTTGACAGTTTTGTCATTGTGAAGCAGAAAAAACACATCTTAACTCTGCATTTTTTGGAAGGAAAAACTTGTCAGACTTGGCAGCGTTTCCCAAATACAAAAGAATAAAATTAGCAGGAAGGATACTTTATTTCCAAGCTGCAATTAGGAAAGTAATTGTGAGATAAGAATAAGAAAACAGGGTTCTTGACAGTATTTTTTTTTCCCCAGGAAACTCGGTCTGCAGTGAGCTCAGTAGAAAGTGGACAAAGCAGCGTAATCCTTAGAAGTGAAAGAAAAGCACTTACTCACTGGGAAGGGAGAATCAATACAATGCTCCAGGCTAATGGCTTCCCACACGCTGGCAGTCCCCCACTTTAATTGAAGGAAGAGTGTCAGCCCAGCGTTAGAGCGGCTGCCCGGCACAGTCAGCCGGAGCCTGGCGATGCCAGGCAGGGTCTCGGGGTCATCCCAGCAGCGGGCTGAGGCTGGCTCTGGTGGCACAAAGCCCCAGCAAACCAAGGCAGCTATAAGCCAGGTCAACTTGTCTCTGCAAAATTCGGTGTCCCCAAGCCCTCCCTTTCCCGGAGTCTGCATGTTTGGCGCTGGCGTGGACATCCACATTCCGCACGGCGCTGTGCTAGAAGGTCATGCAGTTAATGGGGCTCACTGGTACATGAGCATGTCTTTGTACGTGAGCGGTCTCAGTCTGACCTGTGAATCTGGACTGTGTGTTTTCCTTAAATGCTCAGAAGGGACGTATGACTGGGTGGTACAATGGTCACCCTCACAGGGGTCATCAGGGAAGGCACTTGGGTGCTTGAAAGAGCTAGAGGCTGGGCTACCTCACAGAGTCCTTGTCTAGTCCAACCCCTTCTCCACGCAGCCTGCTCAGCACCTTGTCTGGTAAGCACTGGAGTACCTCTCACTATTTAATGATTGGCTTTTGTAACATAAATGGGTAAGTTATTTGACAGAAGCTGCCTCTGCTATAGCACCACACATATAAGAGGGCAATGGAGCAAGTCTCAAGCAATAACTTATTAACAGCCTAGCCCAACCCATACTTGTACTAGCCACTGCATCTCACGCAGCTGGTAGTGTGGTCTCCATGCTGGAGTACATGAGAAGCAAATTTACTAGCAAATGCAAAAAGGTGAACACTGAGAGACAAGTTGTTGGCAGTGCTTATCTCCCCACAGCCACCGCTGCTTTCCGTTGCACTGCCTAGATGAGCCCTGTTGATGCTACTAAGTACATCAGCCGTGGAGGAGCTGCCATCAGCTTTCTTGCTGTGTGGTGGTCAGCCTCAGGGCCCTGAACATACCTTCACTCCTTTACCTTCAGGAGATCAGACTGCAACAGGAACAGGAACATATGTGGAGGGAGCAATTACATAAATACTGCCTTTGCTACGGGTAACTGCTACCACACTAATGAGACCCTTAATTTCCATTTTCCACACGAGGCCTTACACCACCTACAAGGCAAGTACACCACAACAGCAATCACCTGCGTGAATGCAGAAATGCAATCCTCAGGTCTCCCATCCTGTTCAAGAACTTTTATACACATACATTTATGTGACAAGCTGCACTCATGCGGTGCAAATCAAACTTACGCACATTTGCCAGAGGACACAGCCTCTGACTCTTGGGTTGGCTTCTTTTAACTAACTCCTAAGACACTGGATAAATACCTGTCAGAGAACAACTTGTCTTTGGGAAACCCACGCAAAGCTGTCACTGGTTTCCTTTTTTGCAAGCTCCCCAATGCTGTATTTTCTCAAGACAGCTCCAAATGTATGTATTAAGCATAAGTGTTATAAGTATGCAAAGCTCAGCAGTAACTGAAAAGACTTTACATAACTGTATTTTGGATTTTTTTTTTGTTGCTGTCTTTTTTACGATTAAGTGCAAGTCCTTAGAAATAAAAATACAAATAACTGTTTTGAATGGACTGTTTTCTTATAATTGTTGAGGAAAAAAACAATTTTAAGTGGTTAAACAGCTTCAGCAGCATCCAAGGTATTCAGAAAATGTGGTTGTTATGTTGATGTATGTACACCTGCTCCCACAACCAGTCAGAATACAAAGGGAAAGAAAATAGGTTTCATTTGTTATAAGGAAGAGAAGTCTGAGCCTACACAGCATTTTTCATGTGGAATTTGATAGGGTTACAATCATGGACCTTAATCAAAATTAAACCCAAAATATTATGGCAAAGATCCAAAGATAGTTTTTAGAGCAGTTCCTCTTTATCTCTCTCTCCAAGCATTCATTTTTGTCTCGGAAGGGATAGTGCTTTGTACCCTCAAAATCTCCTAGACTGTGTGTTACACACCACACAAACACAGGAGACCTCTACTTCACAAGCTATGTAGTTCTCCATAACATCATCCTCTTCAAGACCTAAACACACAGAAACAAATCTAGTGGGAGCATTTTAACAGTATGTGAAGACCAAAATATGGACAAAGAACCTGAACTGAGATGAAATAACAAGAAATTTAAACACCAGGCCTAAAAGTGCATAGTTCACACATCCAATCTCAAGTCTCGTTTCATAATTCCACTTTTATTAAAAAGGTGCTGAATCTTGTAGCTCCACGGGAAAGCCTCCCAAGCTGCCAGAAATGTGAATATTGTGGGGGTATCAGCCTAGGTTTGCCAAAAACTTGAAAAATAGCTATGTTAGGCACAGATTGCTGCAATCATATAAATATTTAACTGATGCCGGCCATTATGATGACTCAATAACAATTTTATTTTTGGACAATGCACCCAGAGGAGTGAAGAAATGCACTGACATGTCCGTGTGCAGGCATGCACCCGTATGTCCCGCTGACCTGTGAGAGCACACACCCTGTGGCCACAGTGCTGCCCGTGCATGAGCTGTGTCCAAGGAAGAAAGACAGGGTTACACCCAGCATGTTTCCCTTTACTCAGTATTAACTAGTTGTGAAGTCTTTAGTAAGTTTTGAGGAAAGACCCTGCCTCTTCTTAATCTTCAAAGAATTTTCAAGCTGTATTTGTAGAATCAATGTCTTTAGAGATTAAGGTCAAGACTTCTCCCAAAAGTATTAAAAAATTAGGTGGACATAAATGAATACTTGAAATATCTTATTTGGTTGTCAAATGTGGAGTGCCCAGCAACTGTTACTTGGATTTTCCTGTGCTCAGCACTGAAACCCAAGCACCATTTAAATAACACAACATGGACATTTTTCATGAATATGACTTCCATAATTTCTTTATTTTAAGACCAGAAGAACAGACTGCAATGTGACCTCCAGCATAAGGCAGGACATAAAATTGCTCTGAAGGGCCATTCTCTGAAGGGAATCTTGTTACAACTAGATTGCATCTTTTAGAAAAACATCCAGTTTGACAGTAATAAAGAATCCATCATCACATCTTGATAAAAGATTCCTGCAATTTTTGCTTCAAGACTGAGTTTGTCCGACATCAGTGATGTTTCTGTTCCTTGCTCCCTCAGACGCTTAAAAATTCACTTTTAGACACTGATTCTAGAGTCTTATGTTTAAGAATCTCTGCAGAAGTATTACATCTAGTCAGTTACTACTGTGAAGGATTTAGACAGTAGTTTTATTGATATGAAACAGGCAAAGTTCACACTTTTAGAATTTTCAATTTAACTCTAAGCTTTCCAATTTTAACTCTTTGGAGATG